CCTCCCTCCCCCGGGAGTTATTTCAGTCAACTTGTAGCAAATATAATTTTGAAATTAATTATTAGTTGTAAATAGACACAAATGGTACAAAATAGAACATTGTCATTGTCGTATTTATAATAAGGTCTAATTACTTATAGTAAATAAAAAGTCCTTATCTAATTCTATATGGAAAGATTGCATTTACTATTGACCTATTCGTACATTTGGTCATCTTCTTACCATAACCAAAAATCATGAGTTATACAACCGCGTCAGCCCGTCAGAAGTATGGACTCAAGAAAAATAGATTAGATGTGACCCGAAGAAGATTAAAGACGGCGGGGAAAAAAGACCTTACGGTAACTGAGAAGGTTAGTGAAGTAGAAGTCAACTGTAGTACGATAGATAACTTGATAATTAGTTTCCTCTTCGGTATAAACGATATTTCGCGGAGCTTAACATTTAGATATTTCACGAACGTTAGTTTTTTTCTTTGGATAAGTTGCATGCTCTTTCAAGATCAACCTTCAGAAAGAATATATTGGCATTCATTGGGGCGGGGTAGATAATTGCTGGTTTTCAGGAAAGGGAGAGAAATAAAATAGAATAACTCTGTTATGTCTGGAATTCTCGCGGATCTAAAAGTGCTTGGCGTGAAAACGGGAAAGTTACAGAAGTGCAATTAGAAGAGGCTTTGGAGGAAGGCAAAATTAAAAGAAGGTACGAATAAGAATATAGCTATCCGTCTCCATGAGTGCAATTGTACAATGGACGTTCTAAATATGCAATACGAAAGGGGTCACCATTTTCGTAGTCGTGCTTTGCGACATCAAAATGTGACAAAATGCGGCCTCGATGATAGGTATGGATGTAACCGGAAGTCGAATAAAAATAACGTTATTACTTGCAAATTACATGTTTTAAGGAAGCTACAAAAGGTAATCTCAAATATACTCGATAAGCTATACTTAATTCAATCTTCTGTAGCCCTTTTGTTGAAATATGGAATTGCTCGTGCTCTTGAGAGTCCTCCTGAAATCGAACCCTTTTACGAGCTTTTTTTTACCAATAAATATATACGTTCGAAAAATGTCATTTTTTTCATAGTTCGTAGGTGAATGCTCTACGGTCTTCTAAGTTAATATGTGAAATAAAACATTTGAGTCACCTTTCTCGTTTTGGATTTATTTTGAAAACACTTCGCAATATGATCGAAGACTCACACTTTTCCGAGGGAAGACTGGGTCGAGTTTTACAGAGATAGCAATTTTTCGACAAAAAAAAGAAAGAAAAAAAAAGAGAGAGAGAGAGAGAAAATGAAATTTGGCTTTGGATAGAATTTTTACTTAATATAATAAAGGAAAATGGCAAAACTGTGTGTTCCATGATTCTACTTCTATACACAAAAAATGCGCAGTGTAAAACAGGAGAATTACCTTGAATTGTGGTGGCCACGGACTTTCGAAACTTACATTCTCAAACACTAGAAAGAAAACGCCGAAATATGTTTTCTTGGAAAGCTTCACTACTACTAATTAGAAAAAATATAGTGAAATTATTTGGAAAAAAGAATTACAGAGATTTGTTTGATTTTCACTCAACTGAGGACTGATTAGCCTCGTTCTGTTGTTCTTCTTATTCTAATATTTTTATGATTTTTAAAAAACAGTTTACCTTAAAATTGCTAAATTTATTGAAATTCAGATACTCTAATTTATAATTCAAATTTAGTGTTTAATTAAAAGAGAAATTACAAAAATAAAGTGGCGACCATGATTCGTTTGGCATATTTTGGGAGCCTGTTTGGTATTGAATAAAATACCTTTTATTTCACTCGACAAAAGGACAAGAGGAGTACAATTAAATCCCAAACTCCGAATTGTACTCGAGATCGTGCGATTTCCTATACTAATTNTTTTTTTTTTTTTTTTTTTTTTTTTTTTTTTTGCGTTAAAAATATAACGTGGTTTGTTTATGAAGAAATGTCATAAATCTGATTTGGCCACACAACCTAACATTTAAAAGTCTTAAAAGTCTCTACAATTTCAACATAAAATAAAAATGTAAAAATCCTGTGAGTTGAGTGTTGCCCATAGAACATTAAATGTGGTGGTAGTGTGTGTTAGTGAAAAGTGAAATTAGTGCGAAAAGCGCTAGGACAACTAGACATTTAAATAAAGAGATATATTTTGTTTATTATTATTTTAAACAGACTTAAAACAAACTCCTTAACCAAAGAAGACATGGAATGGACACGAATACAAAAATTGATTCACTCATGCATGATGATGAATATGGTCCTCTAACTATGCATTTACTTTATAAATACACGATGCAGGAAGTTGTACTGGAGTTTTCCAGAACCAAAACATTTCTTCGACAATGCGTAGTAAGAAATAAGGACTCTGGACACAAGAACCCTAAGACAACATGCCAAAATCAATATATGGGCGCTAGTTAACAATATTTCATGGGTAATCGGTGACCGTACGTCACTCTGACCTTGATAAGAATCGAAGTTTTCATTACAGTTAACTTTGGATATAGTATGTGACGTCTATCACATCCTTTCAGCTCGAGCCCGTTGAGCTGCGCCACTGCTGTACTTGTGGTGGTAATTAGCGATGGTCGCTATAATTGGATAACAGGCTTATAAAATATTTATGAGTTTTTGAAGTAGCTTTATACAAAGTAGCTTTGAAATATATACCGAAACAAGCCGAGTAGGGTAGGGATGGCACGGGCCGGATTTTGGGTGGGCTAGTGGTGGGCTAGCGGTGGGCTAGTGGTGGGCAAATATAACCATAAAATGACGAGCAGGTATTGTTTCGGGTTACCATGACGACCAATTGACGTCATGAGACTATTGTTGACCGGTATGAACAAGTCTTTGTTTCGGACATGGTGGGCCAGTGATGGGCACAGCATCCATTGTTTATTAAATCGTTACCATAAAATGACGAACAGGACGAGTCACATTAATTATTCACCAACCATTAGCATAAAATGACGAGCAGGTATTGTTTCGGGTTACCATGACGACCAATTGACGTCATAAGACGAGTAGGACGAGTATCACAGAAAAAGACCCCTTCCACTTTGGAGTTAAAAATTCAAAATCCCAGCGCTCTATAAATTGGATTGCTAAACAAAAGACTTGCCCAAACTTGTCTAACAATACTCTCCCCGTCATTTTATGGTAACGATTTAATAAACCATAGTCTGCTCGTCATTTAATGGTAATGGTTTAATAAACAATAGTCTGCTCGTCATTTTATGGTAACGATTTAATAAACAATGGATGTGCTCGTCCTACTCGTCTCATGACGTCAATTGGTCGTCATGGTAACCCGAAACAATACCTGCTCGTCATTTTATGCTAATGGTTGGTGAATAATTAATGTGACTCGTCCTGTTCGTCATTTTATGRTAACGATTTAATAAACAATGGATGCTGTGCCCATCACTGGCCCACCATGTCCGAAACAAAGACTTGTTCATACCGGTCAACAATAGTCTCATGACGTCAATTGGTCGTCATGGTAACCCGAAACAATACCTGCTCGTCATTTTATAGTAATATTTGATGAATAATTAATGTGCCCACCACTAGCCCACCACTAGCCCACCCAAAATCCGGCCCGTGCCATCCCTACCCTACTACTGAAACACACTCTATTAATGCAAAATAATTTTTGGTTTAGCCATTATAACTTAGCACATGTAAAAAAATATTTATTTCCCTTTTACTATTTGGGGCTCTCGTTTTTTTAGCAATGACCTAATCATGACATCAAGAGACTGTGACGTCCAAATGTCGTCTTTTTAAAATAACGTTGTCTTTTATTATTGTTGTAAAATTTAAAAAATCAAGAGACCATATCTTGAAAAATGTATTATAAAAGAATTCACTAGAGTGATTTTACTTGGCCCGTGAAACAAACTGTTGTAAAAAAAGTTTATTTAAAAAAAAAATGACAGGTACCTGTCAAAAATCTTTCATAGCTAGTGAAGCGTATTATTAATATGGGAAAGGAATGCATTTTTAGCAGGTTTAAATTTCCATCCTCTAAAACACGTGTTTCACAACATTCACTCTTAGAATATTCGAAGTCGATTTGATAAGATCATTTATATCACAAATACAACGGCACTGGAATGATCCTTTGGTGGTATGTAAATGACCAATTATAATATGTTGTATTGGAGAGGCAAAATTCAGTCCTACAATGGCATATATATCAGTCAAATTTCAAAGAACCGCAGCATATATCTGTTGTATAATATGTGTGCTTCTGATCTATCATCTTTATCATGTCGGTAATGACGCTATACGTTCTAAGAAGGAGACCCTGGAGTTAATAGATATGGAAAACAGTCGACGGCTTAAAGTGAAGCGAGAGATAAAAGGACAAGGAATAAGAAAGATAGACACTTCACGTGATGACCAAGGGAATGTTTCAGGTTTCAAATTAAGAGAAGAGGTTCTTCGGCGTGAAACAGAGACTTTGAAATCGCAATTACTTGCTTATAAAAAACTAAACAAACGCTTGCAAGAGAAGATACAGACCATGGAGTACGATAAAAATATTTTAAAACAGAAAATATTGGAATTAAAAAATCGAAATGTCTATCTTTTTACCGAAGCGGAAAAGGTTAGAAATAAAAGCCTGAAAGATCAATGGAGAATTCCCGAAAAACGGCCAGTCGATGGCACAGAAGAAGATAATCAAGAAGTTTCTAAAAAATCTCCTTTGGAGATTCCTGAGGATATACCATTTCAAAGCTTTGCTAAAACCCACGTTTTCGAGGCACCAACCGACCCTAAGCCGAAAGAATATATTTTCCGAGGACAAAGGAAAGAAACCAGAAAAATAAAACCTATGAAAAAACATATAATAGATGTTCAGGATGTGGTTTTACGTGAACTCAATGTAAACAAGTCTTTGCAAATGACAAAGGAACATCTCTTTGAAGGAGTATATAGATTTGACATCAGTACCGGTTTAGAATACGAATTATATTTTAAGCATCCAAAGTTGTTGGATTCAATCATTCCAGTACGTTTAAGTCGGAGGTTAGGCCCACCTAACATCGAGATCTTATCAGGTGTAAATAGACAAACGAAAGAATTGATTAATCTGATTCTTCCACTGTCGGGGAGACTGGAACGATTTCAAAATTTCATCGATTTATTTATTAACGTCTGTGTAAAAAAGGGCGAAAACGTTTTTCTGACTTTAGTTCTTTACGGAGAAAAAGACTTTAAAACAGTGAAAAAGATTCTTCAGAATTTAGAGAATGATTACGATTTTCGTAAGTATCAGCTCATAATGAGAGACAAAGAGTTCTCGCGGGGTCGTGCTCTTCATGATGGCGTCGTTTACTGGAAAGGAAGGAATCCCAACGTGTTGATATTTTTCTGTGACGTTGATATTACATTTAGGCCCGAGTTCCTTCGCCGTTGCAGAACGTTCACGGAGCCTGGTAAACAAGTCTATTATCCAGTGGTTTTTAGTCTGTATAACCCGAAGAATGTGTATGAAGATGGAATAATTCCTGAACCAGAGGATCAGCTAAAAATAGGTTGGTGTATAATATAGTTGCTGACAATCTCGTACCCAGAGCCTGCATTTCGTCTGGCCTGCGGCTAAGAACAAGGGCTCTGGCATAATCCATTTTTTGGCGCATGCGCAATTTTTCGGAAGTGAAATATAATTAAAGAAAATCATGCTATCAAACGGAGTTCCGTGTTTACTTCCGATCAAAAAAAAAAAAAAAAAAATAGAAATGGTTAACTCATTTTTTTCATTTTTGGCAAGTCTTTGAACGCATGCGCTCTTATACCGGAAGTCCAAGAAATTCTGGTGATTATGCCAGAGCCCTCGTTCTTAGCCGCAGGCCAGAAGAAACGCAGGCTCTGTCTACCTATGCTAAATTTTATTCTATTTTATCTTCTTTTTCTCTTTTT